GCGTTACTATCAGTTTCATTTATACCAGTTCCTTTCTATTGTAACATCTGTTTTCTTTGTATCCTGTCTGGTTGGCATCTGTGGGTTCTTGTTTGGAGAATTGGTGCTTCCATTGTCTTGATGATCTAAGTATGTGCTTATGTTGGTCATTCAGTACCCTGTTCCTGATCATTTTTACTACATAGAGGGAAGGAAATAATAAGAGCAGAAATGTACAAAACAGGAGATACATTATGACACACAAAATCAGCAATGCCAAAAGCATGTTCTAGAAAAGGTCTGATTAAGAAATAAGAGCACACACAAAGTACGACCATCAGATCACTACAAATCCTATGGATGTGAAAAACAGAATATATGAAGAATAAAATTTTACAATTTCTTTAAACCACACAACTTACCAAAATTTGTAAAACACAACATAAAAATATAAACATTTCTGCATCTACTTAAAAAGTTGAATTCATAATTTTAAATCTTTCACGAAGAAAACCTCAGGCACAGATAACTTCAACAATGAATTATTTTAAACATTTCAGGAAGAATAACATCAATATTATACAAAATCTTCCAGAAAAAAAGAGAAACAGGAGGGATGAATTAATATCTGAAAATAGTATATTTCATTATTCATATATTGCATAATAAAATACCAAAAAAAAAAAATAGCAGCTTAATATAGTAAGCAGTTTTTGAAATGTAGAAATCTGAGCCTGTCTGATTTTGCTGCAATCTCTGAAAATTTGACTGAGACTAGCAGCTCTGCTTCCCACTTCCATCATGTGTCTGTTGACAGTAGGCTTTAGTTCTTTGTTATGTGGACTCCTCTAAACAGGATGTTCACAACATATGATCTCCAAGTAAAGAAGAGCTTGCAACCAAACTGTAAGCTGCAGAGTGTTTTGATTTTTGTTGTTATTTTACTAACACGATATAAGAAATGGCATATCATCACATCTGACCTAATGCTATGATGACATTGATCAACCCTGGTACAATATGACTTGGTATAACACAGAGGTGTGTATCAAGCACCATCATAGAGGCTGGCAATGACACCATATAAACAGAAAAAGAAGAGAAATGTATGATTGTTGATAAATCAAAATAAAAGAGAAGCATTTGATAAAATTCAATACCCAATGCAATTAAATCTTTTATTAGAAGCTAACTCCCTTACAATAAACATTGAATCACTGAAAGATGTTTTCCTTGAGGCCTGAAGACCACTTCTATACAATATTACATTGTAGAGCCTGATAACTAAAATAAGGCAAGGGAAAAAAGTGATGCAATGCATAATGATTGGGAAGAAAAAATAAAACTATCATTTTTCCAGATAATGTTACTGAGTATGAAGATAATCCAAAAGTATCTAGATAAGGAATGAAAAATTAAGCAATTAATTATTGAAATTAATAAAATTATCACTAAATGCAATACAAAATGTTAAATGTATTATTTAATATAGCAATACTATATACTAAATGAAATGAAAATATACTATTTACAATAGCCTTACAAAAACATCAATACCTACAAACCAATCTAAAAACAAATGTGTAACACCTCAACATTGAAAACTATAAATTATGACTGACAGCAATTGAAGACCTAATTAAATGGAAGAATATATCATATTCAGTGATTGGATGAAATAATCTTGTCAAGGTATTATTTCTCTCCAAATTAATCTACAGATTAAAAACAATTTATTACTAGATGGTTTTGATTTTTTCCCACTCATAACAACCCCATCCAACACAAAAGAAATGCCCTGTAGTGTTTTTCTTTGCTCTAATCTTGAGGGAAGCAAATTGCAAGGTCTTTTCCCTGAAGAGCCACTGGGTGGGTTTGAACTGCCAACCTTTTGTTTAGCAGCTAAATGCTTAATCATTTGCATCACAAGGTTCACTTTTCAAAACAATGGCAAATTATAATTCCTGCAGCTTTTTAGATTAAATTGATGTATTCTAAATGCAAATGTGAAGATTCATGCACACTCAAGGCAATTTGAAGAAGAAAAAGTTTAGGACTTTCACTACCAGATTCAAGACCTATTTTAAAACTACAGTAATTAAATCAACAGGCTATTTGCTGAAGGAAAATAGATGATGAAAAAGACCAAACAGAGATCTGCATATAAATGTTCACCTCATTTTTAATATATTTGGCACTGCAGTGAAGTTTGGAAAAGATTATATTTTCAATAAGTAGAAAAAAAAAA